TAAAAGTACCCACTGCACATGACTGTTGTGAGAAATATTGTGCGGTAATACCTTGGAAGTGCTTTAGCACGTGGCCGAAATAATAGGCAATCTATTAGTATTGCTATCATGACTCTATGAGTACACAATGTCTTTAAAGCTTCATAAATACAGTTATTAAAATGGTGGACCCTCCCAGCATGCAGAAGATTCTAGCATGTTTTGAGGAGGAGGAGCTATCCAAGATTTTTAGTGTTGGTGCTTATGAGAGGTAAAGCCGAAGGAGGGACTGGAGGTTTGGGTACAGCATGGGGAAACTGAGAGAAACATCAGTGTGTGTGGGTGGGTGGGTGGTGGTAGTGGGGGGGGGTTTCCATGATGGGAACTAGTATGTGGTGTTAGTGGATCCATGCTATTTGGCATGAACCATCAAAGAAAAACTAAAAATCTCTTTTGCCAGAATAACTCTCATTTATGTGTATAATTTATTATTTGTGCACCGTGATTATGCATGTCGTTAAATATGTCACATAAACTTTGCTGTAAATATTATTTGGTTATAAAAGCCACCTCTATAAATATAGTTTTTAATCAGCTGTGGGTCCTACCACTTAGCATGATTGGCAGGGCATCTAAAAAAGTTTTATTAAATGCTATTGTAAGAGATACTGTTAATGTTCTGCCTCCATACTCTTGGATACCATTCATGGGCTGTCTCCGAGCTCTCTTCCCCTGGCTTCTGTGTGCCTTTGCTCTCACCAGCCCGCACCTGCACCTCTTCAGAGGACTGACTGTAGGGTGCTGGAACAGCTTTGCCTTTTGGTGCAGAGAGCTAGAAGCGCCTATGGTCCATCCTCGCTCTGGGGGACCCTTAGTCAGCAATGGACAGTGCGAGAGAATGAAAGCCCAGTACCTTTGTCTGAGTGGGAATAACTCTGAGGCATAAGCTACGTTCCTGAGTCATCAGGAGTGGTACCTGAGGATCAGGCTGAAGCTCACCCAATGGGACTCTGTCTAAAATTGCAATCTTGCTTCAATTGTCCCCCCCCCCCATTACCTGCTTCCTCCACTCCTTCACTGGTTCTTCTTTAATAAATGATTCACTCCTGATTCCTCATTACAGGGGCTGCTTCTGGGGAATTCTAAGTAAACACACTTAATATATGTCGAAATCTTCCCTGGACACAGTGTAAACACCAGCTCATTTAATCCTCACCATGCTGGAAGGTAGTTATCATTGTCTTTATTTCGTGGGGAAGGATGCCGGCTCAAATAAGTGAGAAGGGGCAGCGTGCACTTCACGGAGGTGGTTAGAGGTTCGTTAGAGGTTAAAGCTCTGCCTGCTTTCCTGCCCTCCTGGCCCACTGACATCTTATGTAACATGACTATCTTTCGAAGTACAGCTAGCGTCCTGGGGGAGTTTATCTGAACACACAAGACCATGTTTTGCAATTATTTGCATAAAGCCTGACACTGATGAAATATATAATAATTCTCTTTATTTCAGAACCTACAAGACAATTAAGCAAAGAGACTATAAAACCATCTTTATATAGAAAACATGAGTTACCAGAGTGAGTAGGAAGAACATTACTGAATTTAATAAGACTTCAGTGAGAGGACTGTGTGGGGCAGATGAGGATAAGGCACGAGCCTTTGGGGTCAGACGCGTGATTCCCAGCATCTCCTCTGGCAAGCTTTGTGACCTTGGACTAGTTACATAATCTCGCTAAACCTTAATGTTCTCACCTGTAAAATGGACACTATAACATCCATTTGTAAGGTTGAAGGAAGGATTGAATACAAGATAAAATAGTTATAATAGAACTATTTAAAGTTTTTAGCCCAGTGCCTGGCATAGAGTAAGTACTAAATCTAACCATTTCTTTATTAAAATGGTGCCTGGCACATATAATGTGGTATATCTCAGTAACTCCCCCCAAAACAGAGGTCTGTTGTTGTCGGCATGGATGATGCAATGAGCAGCTGCTCCTGGACCCCCTCACAGGCTGCACCTGGTGTGCAGGCCACACCTTGACAACTGCTGCTTTCCTGTAGGCATGATCTTCCCACTCAGGTACCAATCTGCCATTTTCCTGGTGATCTCTGGAACGAGCCAAGCGTTTTTGCATTTTTCCATCTTCCAGACAGAAGAATAGCGATAGAATACAACTCTGCCCCCTGAACAATCCACCCACTAGCCAAGCATCTTGAATAGTTTCCAAGATTGCTTAGGAAAACTGATACAGACTTGTTTTCCTGTCTAACATTTTATTTGGGGACCATTGTAGATTCACATGCCATTATAAGGAACTATATGGATTCCTTTATAGCCTTCACCCAGTTTTCTCCAGTGGCGACATCTACAGACATCTTGATTTTACACAGAAGTTTTGAATAAGTGCTTATACCTGCCCTTATTTATGCAAAAACACCAAAAACTCTGCTTGCTTTAGTGAAACTACAAACCCAGTCTCTTCTGTCAAGAATCTGAAAATCAACTAGAGCCTCTAGGTCAGCATGAGGAACCTCGAGTCAAAAAGAGAACTTATAGGGCCGGCCGAGTGGCTCAGTCAGTTAACAGCTAGCTTAAGAGTGCGAACTCTGAGCGACAGGGTCACTGGTTCAATTCCCGGCCCGAATTGAGTTGCTGCTGAGCTGCCAACAGGTGGCAGGATGACTCAGCTAAAAAAAAAAAAAGAAAACAACAACAAAAAAGAGAACTTATATTTACATATTCCTTGTTTTGTCCCAGAATTAAAACTAAAACTTTTATAAGAAGCATTTTTCAAAACCGAAATGTGTAATTGTAAAATTCTTTCATATCTTTTCATTGCTTATGTGATTAAATTATTTAGGGAGTTAGAATTATTTCCCCTCATAACTATGATGTACAAGACACCAGGCCCGTTTTCTGCCTAGGGGTGGCTCCCCCAGAAGGACCATTTTGGGAATGAGAGTCCCTTAAAGCATGTGGTAAGAAAATTAGTGGCTGAGGACAAAGGCAGAAAAGCCAAATGGAGTCCATTTTTTGACTATTTATTAGGAAAAGCTATAATATTTCAGAAGCTTTCCATGACTAGCAGACACTGGCATTCCCAGCATGGCGCTTTCCGCTTGCTCAGGCTCTGTCCACTCGCACACTTGCCAGTCTTCAGATTTTACTCCATGGTGTTTCCGGTGCTGTGTGCAGTGTCTGACATCAATTTATGCATAGCAGAGCAGTTGACTTTGTTTATTGTGTGAAATGTCTTAATTTTGCTTTTCATTCTCAAAGTAGGAATCTCCATCTCCAACATTGTTTATCATCATTCTCCCTTCTTTTTTTTCTTGCCTCCTCCTTGAGTTTTTGAGCACTCTACCTTCAACCTCTTTTATTACTGCCATCCCATCTTTTCCTACTCTCCTCCCGGATCCTCCCATCTCTCCCTTCTTCTGCCTCCCAGCTCTCCCAAAAGAAAGAAGAAGGACAACAAACAGAAAAATCCTTTGTTAAGACACTTGGCAAAGAGCCTTGTAATCATATATCTCATGATTAATTTCGTTTTGTCATCTTCCGAAACACAGGCCTGTATAGAGCCATGCTTCTGCTTTGCCTACAGGGCACTTATAGATGTTCAGTGGAAACGCCGTACAGTCCATTTATAAATGAACATCTTTTTGTCGTTATTGCTGGGTTTGTTTGTGATGTCTGAATGCACAGTTCAAATGTATTTTTGTAAATAGCCTTCCCACGTATTTTATACTGGGTACAAAAGGAAAACATAAAAATGACCATTATATAAACCACTGTTTGGAATGCTACCACAGCGTCAGGCTTGGGGATTAATGATGGAAGAGAATGACTTTTTTACCGTTTTATTAGCTATGTGCATGGGTGAGCCTGACACTGGCTCACTTGGGCCACCAGAAGAGACAGCTTAGGGGACAAGTGAAAGATCGGTTACCATGAAGTAAGCCTGAATGGAATGAGTGAAGACCTAGGGGGCTGTCAGAGAGAACAAAAAACAAATGATGGGTCAGGGTGACTGCTGACTCTGGTATCTAAGAAAGCGGTTAACTGGAGTTGCAGCAGGACAAGGAATGGGGGTGCGGGTGGAGAGAGAGAGAGAGAGAGAGAGAGAGAGAGAGAGAGAGAGAGAGGGAGAGAGGGAGGGAGGGAGAATGTGTGTGTTGGGGGGAGGGGTGTGCAGAAATAAAGATGGTAGACACCAAGCCTGGAGTATTTACAGGGTGTGGTTGTGAAGGGACATTGTGTGTAGCTTACCTGCCCCTGCTGGCATGGGTATGGTTTCTGAAAGGGCAGATCCCCCACTAAACAAGCCAAATGTTCTAATTCAAGGATGATCAAAGGCATCTGTGAAATCATTTGAGAAATTTCCTACAGATACGATTGCTGTACTGGGGAAAATGCTCATTGTCAGTTCTGGGTGCCATGTGAGTCTCTGTTATCATTTATAGCAAGGACATGCAATCAAAGTAGAGGGGAGATTCATTTTACAAATATATATAGTTTGATAGCACTGTTTATAGGGCTACTTGCCTGCTTTTCTTGTTTTGTTTTGTTTTTAATGTGAGGAAATAAGGTCAGACAGGACTCCTCATATTCTGGTTTAGCCTTGGTAATTGTATATATGTCTGTGAGCAGTATTATTTTTCTCAGTCAGGATGTACTTTTGTATCACTTTCAAAATGTGTTGGATGTAGTTTTAAAGGTGCCAGACATCATGTTTTATTCTCAGGGTAATGCTTGTACATTGTATGCAAAGTTATCCAACAGTCAGTGTTCCTTAAAAACAAAACAACAATAATAATAACAATAAAAATCTAAACACTTCCCATGCTGACCACTTGAGCAGACAACCAGCTTCTGCTGTGCATGTGTACAGTGATATCAAAGAAAGGAAAAGGTAATTCTGTGTCTTAGTCTGAGGGGCAGTGACAAGACATCAAGAAATAGATGATGAAAAAGATATAAAAAGGAAAAATAACTATCTCCTGTGGTTTTTCTTTTTTTGCAGTTCCGTTTTGAACCCCAAGTGGATGATGCTGTTAGGACTGAACGATTGACCAGAGTCTGTGCAAAATTCCCACCTATTCATTGGCCATCAGTTGAGAGAAGATGGAAGACTCTTACAAGGATAGGACTTCACTGGTGAAGGGTGCCAAGGACATTGCCAAAGAGGTGAAGAAAAAGACAGTGAAGAAGGTGAATCAAGCAGTGGACCGGGCCCAGGATGAATACACCCAGAGGTCCTACAGTCGGTTTCAGGACGAAGAAGAGGACGATGACTATTACCCGCCTGGAGAAACCTATGATGGGGGCGCCAATGATGATGAAGGCTCCAGTGAAGCTACCGAAGGTCATGATGAAGACGATGAAATCTACGAAGGGGAGTATCAGGGCATCCCCAGTGTGAACCAAGGGAAAGACAGCATTGTGTCAGTGGGGCAGCCCAAGGGTGATGAGTACAAGGACCGCCAGGAGCTGGAGTCAGAGAGGAAAGCTGATGAGGAAGAACTAGCCCAGCAGTATGAGCTGATAATCCAAGAGTGTGGTCATGGCCGCTTTCAATGGGCTCTTTTCTTTGTCCTGGGCATGGCCCTTATGGCGGACGGTGTAGAGGTGTTTGTAGTTGGCTTCGTGTTGCCCAGCGCTGAGACAGACTTATGCATACCAAATTCAGGATCCGGATGGCTAGGTGAGTACATCATATCAGAGAGACAAATTCTGAAATTGGTTTAGTTGTTGAGCACGGTTAACAAATAGAATACCTATTTTTCATCTAGAACACTGCATTTTGTTCCAACACTTTATTATGAAAAAATTTTAAACATACAAAGGAATTAAAAGAGTTGTACAGTGATTCCCATATATATCCACCACTTAGATTTTAGAGTTAATGTTTATTTTATTTATCACCTATCTGTCTGTCTATCTGCCTACCTATCTTTCTATCCATCTACCAATCCAACTTATATTTTTATGCATTTCAAGTTAGAGCAATATATTTTAACTTATATTATTTTGTTACATTAGTTTATCTTTTATTAACTTCCAAAAATATGCTCTTGGAAGCTAATTAAACTATTATATGAAACTTATTTGACATTTTTGTAAGTACAGTGGTTAATTTTATGGAATTCTGACAGATTCTGAATTTCAAATTTTATGTATAATACTATGGTTAAAATACTTTTGGAACCCTGTTAATTTTTGGTTTTCCTATAATCTACATGTATGTTTGCTTGTTTATTTTCTTCAGTTAGCCTTATTCATAGGTTTTTCTCTACATGACTTTTTCAAAGTTCTTACCTTTGTGCCTAAACTGGAAAAACTTCATTTCCTCGTAGGATCTAAAAATACTTCAAATTATATTAGTAGTTAAATTATATGTGTTAAAAATAACATGACTTCCCTATAAAGTATCTAGATAGCAGGTTTGAATTTTGTTTTAAAGTTGCCATGCACTCAAGGTTCATATGGTTATAAAGCTGTAGTTAATATTCCCACTTATTTCCCTTGTGTAGTGAATATAAGAAGGCCAAGAAACATGCACATAGTGGAATATCCCCAATAACTTAAGTGAGTTTCAAACGCTGGGTACATTGTCATGAGGACGTTCAAACCGCTTTTGCTAAGCATACCTCAGAGAACATGTTTATGTACATATTAAATCTTTATGTGTTCCAGAATCTGTGAGAGTAAGAATACCTGTTATCTCTATTTCCAAGGGACTTTTTAAAACTAAAGCTTGGAAAACAAAATTATACAACTCTTTTTTTGTGAAAACCTAGTCACTTTATTAAATAATGTTATAAGCATGGATGCTTAGAAATTTTCTATGTGACAACACAGAAATTTGCTCTGTGACAACACAAGAGAGATGGCCATGAATGAGAAAAGGATTTACATCTCATCCCTGTACCATTTGTTTCTTTTATATGAGCCACTCCTGGTATTTGTTGCTTTGATTGCCTAAAGGAAAGAGATGGATCCATGAAAGCGGACTGTGAGGGGGGGAGCGGGGAGAGTGGGGCCATGTTTTGCATGGTTTTTGCTGATAGACTCACTTGTACATTCAACCATCAAAATGCAGAGTATGGTTTGGAGGAGAGTTCTTAGTCATGTGTCCAGTTTATCATATCAACACATCTGTTTCGTATCTAGCACTGTGCTTTTTTTCCTTTGGAGAGCAAGTATTCCCACTCTAAAAATCAAAATATTAAGACTTTGCTAAAGGAATATATCAGCAGAATTTGTTTTAAATTAAAGTTTATTGGGGTGACAATGGTTCCTAAAGTTACATAGGTTTCAAGTGTACAATTTTGTAATACATCATCTATACATCACATTGTGTGTTCACCACCCAGAGTCAGTTCTCCTTCCATCACCATGTATTTGATCCTGTTTACCCCCATCAACCAGTCCCCTCCCCCCTTCCCCTCTGGTAACCACTAGACTATTGTCTGTGTCTATGAGTTTTTGTTTCCTTCTTTGTTTGTCTTGTTTCTTTGTTGCTTTCAGTTTTATAACCCACATATCAATGAAATCATATGGTTCTCGACTTTTTCTATCTGACTTATTTAGCTTAGCATAATAATCTCAAGTCCATCCATGTTGTCACAAATGGCACTGTTGTCAGCTGAATATTTTAAGAGGATAGATCCTTAGAAATACATCTACACACATATTTAATAATTGCAGGTTTAAATTTAGAACCCAAATCTTTTCATGGTGTGATCCAAGCTTTTAGATTGGAAACATTTCAGAAAAATCTAAGCCGAGCCTGCCCTTGTGCCTTTATCTTCTCCGTGCTGAATGGAAGCCCAGTACCACACGTGGTTCTCTTATCTGTCTGTCCTATAAACCTGTCCACCCATGATGAGGCCTCACATCCCCAGGTGGCATTCAGAAGTGTAGATAATGTTGTGGAACCATTGGAGCACAGATAGTTTCATGTCTCCACAAACGTTGCCTGCTTTAGTGAATTAAAAATGTGTCCCTGGGAGTGCACGTTTTCGCACCACGCTGTGAATCCACAACAGAAGCATCTTAATGGTTTCATAACTGTGCCTTCTAGACTTGCATTTCAATTATTTTGCCATTGTAATTTCACTGATAATTGCATACTCACCAAGTCCTTTTTAGACAAGCATTTAAATTGTTTTGTCATTTTCATTTCATCAAATAATAGCTTTGTAATGTAATTACCACACTAAGTCATAGCCATGAGATCAAAATGCAAGAAGGAAAGAGGCATGACCCATGTTTGGTGGCATTTTTGAGGATATAGATTTGCAAAATCTATACAAAATCTATACTGTGCTACTAAGCATTGTGTCATTTTCCTCAAGGCAGACCAGGAACAAAAAACATGAACCAATTTATGCTTTCATTATTTGGGAGAGAAATCTTCTCTTTGTGTTTGCTAGAAGATGGATGTAGGTAGCTAAGGGCACATCGTGTGTCACATGTCTGTGTGTATGGTCTATGTGCCTCTATAACATCTTTAATTGCCTTGGAGGAAAAAGTAAATATTTAATTGTCTAATGATCTGCTCTTTGAGGGAATAAGTGCTGTCACTTTAAGATAATCCATTCTCTATTGACGAAGTCTATTTACTGAGCACTTATTATGTGCAAAGCACAGTGTTACCATGGAGAATAATATGACAAAATAAGGCAAGGATTCTGTATCCAAGGAAATTATACTCTAGTGTGAAGAAATCACAAATGTCTGCAGATTGGGTTTTTCCAGCAGTGTACAAAAATGACATCGCTGTTATCTGTATTTTAGAAAGCCACCACCTCTGGCAGAGTGTGGGAGGTGAGTGAGATGGGAGAGAGAGACTTAAAAACTCAAATGGACATCCCATCTGCAGTACATACTAGTACATTTCCCATATTGACTAGAGTTGATTGGCATATTGGGCAAAAACAGAGATAGACAAGAACATGAAAGTATCAAGTAGAATATATTTGTACATATGAGTAGAATTTCACTTGATTTTTTTTTCATTTTTAGAAGCTCTTGAATGTTTTAAAAAATATTTCTAAATAATTCTATAATAAATATAGATTTTAATGAATTTAGGATATATTTTTGGCTAGAAATGGAGCAGTGATTTTCATTTTACTCAGTACTTTGCTATCAAGCATATGAAGTTAGACTATTTGGCATTCCTGTATTTTTCATTGACAACTATAATGTTCATTCAGCAAAAATTTATCGAACACCTACTATGTGACAAGCACTGTTTTAGACTCTAGAGCTACAATTGGAAATAAAAAAGAAAATCTCTCTTTCTATAGTTTTTACCTAAATGGTGGCATTTTTCAGTACAGAATTTGTTCATATTCTCTTTCCCCCACCCCCTTAACTTTGTTTGCCATTTATAGAAAGGGTAGTTTCCTTGAAGACTAAGCCACATGGATATGACCTGAACCACCATACCTAATTTCTCTTTCTCTATCCCTTCATATGCACCTTTATTCCTTTAGGTATTAAAAGAACTATTTTGCTGGAATTTCTAGCTGCTTTCTCTCTAGCTGTCTGTTTTTTTTTTTAAACCAGCTTCAAGTTTCTGAGATCCCCTTTCTTTTGTCCCATTGACTGTTGTTTGCCACTAGACTGCAAGCAGAGTTCAGTGACCTGTTCGCTGTGCACTGAGCCAGACTTTTTCAGGTGTGTATGACACCTGCTCAGCACTGCCAGGTATAGCCCAGCATATCTAAGCTGATAACAAAGAGTGTTGCAGAGTTTTTCCTCTTTTAACTTTATTCCAAGATTTTGATCATTTGGCATCTGGGTGTGCTCTAAATGTTAAAATCCTAAACGTGTACCCTGCAGGTTTCAGGGTCAGCAGCTCTGCAGCCTGCCCAATCTCTTTGTCCTTGACCATCTATCTGCCTTGGTATCTCAGAGGGAGCTTTGATCTCCATTCTGGATGTGCCCTCTGGCTCTGTTTAGCCTCTTGGCTGTCTCAGTGATCTTAATGGGAATTAGAAAGTTATTGGCTCCTAGAGAACATCCTGTCCACCAACACTAGCAAAATCTTATTTGGATTCATTATTGCTAAATTGGAGAAGACGACTCAATAATTCATCGCCATTGTCTTCCCGGATCTTACTTCCTCTAGTCTTTCACATTCTCGTAAGAGAAGAGAGGTTTCTGACATCCGAATGGAGTTGGGTCAAGTAGCCTGAGAAGATGCCTCCATCCACAGAGTCTGTGATCCATTTTCACAGGACAGGAATGAACAAACTCCCACATTCCTGAAACCTGCCAATAAATAGCATTCTGGAACCATACAAGTATGATAATAAATGCCCTACTGTCACCCAGAGGGTCACTGGAGGATTTCCCACCATACAGCTTTGAACCTGAAGGCAGCGTCTTGCATTCTAATTCTCTGTATCCCCACATCCTAGAACACTCCTGGATGAGGACCTACTGGGAGTACCAGCCTTATGTGTCGTAATTCAGTCTGAGACTCTCCCTGAAGTCATTGGAGAACTTGGTGATGTGTTGTCAGTTTGGAGAATTTGATAATTGTGACTTTGATTTAAATAAGGCAATAGGAGTTGTTAATCATCTAATAACCAGATCAAGCCAAACACAAATAATATAGACTTGTAGATTTGAATTGCAGACATTAGATGCAATCACACCCTTTCAATGGGAAATCTAACCTCTCAA